CAATACTAAGGATACTACTAATAATAAAGATAATAAGAAGCGTCCTTATAGTAATACGTCTATAAAGGCTATCCCTCCCGTAATAAGGAGGCCTTATAAGATATATAAAAACACCTATACCACTACCGCCTATTAGTATATAAGGCCGGATATACGCCCTTATACCTAGTATAGCCGCGAAGATATTACGAAGGTTATAAAAAAGAAGATATATAACTATAGTTTTAAAAGCCGCGTGGATACCACAATACGGAAGAGGCGGGAAGCCTTAGGGGCTATCACCGCTAATAAGATAAAGGAAGTCTAAGAAGATTAACTCTATAATACTACACCTATTATAACTATTATACCCGTAAGTATAGTTCTAAAAGACCTTTCCGTAACCGCGAGTATACGGCTAGGCGTTTACCCGACCTAAGAAGGGGGGGTAGCGCGCCCTTATACGATAATACTATTAAGATTATAAGAATAAGGAGTATCCTTATCTATTAACTAAGCTAAAGCAGTACTATACTACGCGATACTAAACTTAGGATTATTAATCTACGTCTTTAATAATCGAGGCCGTTTTACTACTATTAGACTACCCACTAATACTTTATCTTTATCCCTTTAGGTGGGTACTTATAAGCTTCTATCCTCGGATATAAAGACATTAAGCTACGTATATAATCCCTATCAGACACGAAAAGGCTATTACGCCTCCGTGATATCGTATACTATAAAGAGTTTATTACTAATATCGTCTGAGAATACTAGCTACGCCTATAAGGCTACTACTAGGATACCGTAAACGATACTATTATTAGATCTACCGATAACCGGCCTATCTATAAGCTACTAGATATCCACGGCTAGTATATAATCAAGCGCGCGGAAGCTATAGCGGCTACCGCGTTTACGGTTTCGGCTTAGCACCCCTGCGATAACCGGTATAGAAGATCGCGATAACCGCGGTAACCGTAGAAGACTATAGCGTAGCGGTAGTATAAACGCCTCGGCTATTACGGTACCGATACCCTTATAAGGATCGTTAACGCTACTTAGCGGGTAAGAATAAAAGGACCGCGCACCGCCGACTATAACGCGTATAGGTAATTATAAGTGCTTATATGGATCCGGCGGATACTATCCCTTTACCCATTAAGGCCCGGAGAGGCCCTAGCTATTAGTTTTCAGGATCTTAAAGAGGCGGAGTCGTTAGCGGGCGGCCTGTATAAGTCTATTATATTCGTCACCAATGTATATATAGGTTATATATAGGATTACTACCTATAGAGGAGACACTAAAGCTCTATCTTTTATATATTAAGAGACGTCTTTACCCTGCTTAAGACCTAATTCGACGTTAAGCTATATATCCTACGGGCCGATTCTAAGATATTTTAGTACCTAGAAGTTATTACTTTCCTCGCTACTAAGGAAGTAGAAGGTTAGCCTTCGGCACTATAGTTATAGGATTAAAACGGCGTTATAGAACGGATTAGATGTATCGTTAAAAGAAGGGCGAGGGCTATACGGATTAGGGCTAACCTGCCTGTATCTATCTAGCCTAAGATGTTTAAGACTACTATATATCTATATAATAAAACGCCACGATATATTAATAACTAGAAGACGCTATACGAAGGCCTGCGCGGCCGTTAACCTAACCTTACGTATCTATAAGTATACGACTATAAAGTCTTTATAAAAATGCGTGATACCTAAGCTAAAAGAAACCGCCTATAAAGGCTAGAACCGAAGGTATAGATCGGATATTATATTAGATACTATTCCTCGAATAGCTTCCGCGTATAGCTACTATACCTAACGGATATTATTACTATAAAAGACGTGATCTTTAACGAAGATAAGACCTTTAATAGTAGAATTAAAGCGCTATAAGTTATAGCTTCCCCTAAGGAAATCGGGGAATACCTATAATCTATCCGTATTACCTAATCTAATAATATTATAACCGCGAATAGGCTATTATTAAGGGGTGTAGTCGTAAACGTATTAGATCTCGAGTCGGAAGTCTCTAACGCTACCGCTATTACTACGGGTAAAGATAAGGCCGTCGCTATTACTATAAAAGAGGCTACCGCTATTATACGGGTACCGTTATTACTACGGATACTACTATTATTATAGGAGAAGACTATACTACCGCTATTATTACGGGTAAAGGCGATGCTACCACTATTACTACAGGTAAAGGCGATAATACTGCTATTACTACGGATACCGATATTATTACGGATACTCTGCGGTTTACCACTATAAGGTTTAAACCGTTTCCCACGCTTTTAATATCCCCGAAAGATCCTACGCGCGCGTTCCTTATAGCGTTAGCGGTGGTTAGGGACGTTAAGGTAGAAGAACACGATAACCACTAACGGATAGCTATAAATACCCCTAAGGGGTGCCTATTAGCCGTACGCCTATTAGCCGCGCGCCTATTTATTACGAGAACTATTATAAGCCTTTACACGACTAAGAAAGGATAGAACGATAATACCTAGAAAGCGTTCTTTAACGCTAGAAGGACTTATAACCCTATACGTACGAGGAAGTAAGCGGTTTATAACGGTAATATCGGAGCTAATACTATAAATCCCTCTCCTTTTAACGCCTCCTAGCCGTTATCGCGTTTAACCCGCGAGGACCTCCTGCCTCCGCTAAACCACTACTACGATATACGCCTTTACCCGTTACGGGAGCGGTGGTTATAGGCTAAGGGGGAGTATCTTAAGGGCTACCGATAAATAGGTTATTAGTAGGAGGTAGGCGGTAATTAGGCTAATAAGTAATAAATCCTCGCTTACATATAAGTATATACCTATAAATTTAATAAGGAGGGCACCCTTCTTAAGTATAAGGCACGCCTTATAGTATAAGGGGATTAATAAAAACGGTTAGAAACTAAAGATAACTACGCAGCTATATTAGCCTCGCGGTCCTTGCGTATATTCATAGCGATCGCTGCTCGATTTAACTATGAGATAAGGCAGTTTAATGCTATTAACGCGTTTATTAACGCTAGCCTTAAAGAAAAGGTGTTTATAAAGATACCGTAAGGCTACAAAGTACTAGGTAAGGTTCTGCTACTACGGAAAGCCCTCTGCGGCTTAAGGGAATCGCTACTATTATAGTAAGAGGAATTCAGCGGCACGCCATAGAAGATAGGATTCACGGCTATATCTAATAACCCCTATATTATAAACCGCGATAGTTTAATCCTATTCTTCTACGTTAACAATATCGGACATATCTACTATAAAGACCGTAAGACTAACGCCGATAACCTCGAGGCCGCTCTTAAGGGAAGCTATAGGTTATTAGGAAGCGAAGACATCCGTTAGTTCCTAGGAATTAAGGTCTTCAGGGAGAGAGCCACCCGTAGGTTATAGCTATTATAATCCTCCTATATAAAGAAGATCGTGGTTAAATACTACGTAGATATCCTCTGCCGAAAACCACTAAAGGTCCTATTATCTATAAAGCTATTAATACTACGCGACGGCACGCGCGCGTCGATTCCCGAGGTCTATTAGTATTAGGGTATAATTGGTTCTATCCTATATACCGCTATTATAATAAGACCCGATATTGCGTTCGCCTATTCGAAGCTTTCCTAATATAATATTAACCCCTCCTCTAACGACCCTAAAAGGGCTTAATAAGTGCTGCTGTTTTTATACTATATAAGACACTACTACCTGGAATTTAGCGGGGATAGACTCTTCCTAACCGTAAACGACGCGTCCTTCGGGGATAATCCAGACCGTAAAAGCTCCTAAGGATACGCGATAAAGCTTTTCGGCGGTATTATTAACTAAAAGGCGGGTAAATAACCTATAGTTATAATATCGTTAATAGAGTCGGAACTACTTGCTCTTACAGAGGCCGCTAAGGAGATATTATTCGTTAGTGGAATATTAAGAGATTTAAAGCTTTAGTTAGATTAATAATAAGTATAGCTATACTACGATAATTAGTAGACTATTAACCTTATTAATAAGAAGGTATAACGCCTGCGAATAAGGCTACGGCACGTCGATATCTAACTAGTAAGCGCGCTAGTTAGTATAGCAAGGCCTTTTAAAGGTTATGTATATTAATATAGAGGATATAATCGTGGACGGTTTAACGAAGGCATTACCGGAAGCAGGGATTAAATAACTATAATAATACCTTAATTTAACGGCTTAAAAGGATCGTATCAAGTAGTCTAAACGATTATACGAAGAGATTAAACGCGCTAAAGCCACGGCCGTAATAACTACGAAGGCCCCCGAGGGTATAGTAGATCTGATAGATATAGATCCGATTAAGTAGATCCGGCTAATTAGGATCGAGGAACTAATTAAGATAGAATTAAACTAAATAGTTAAATAGGGCGGATTTAAATCCCTTTTAGAAGGGCGTTTTTCCCTTGACTATTAATTTATAATAGAAAAGTTAAGAGCGTTTAATTTAAACCGAAGCCTCTGATTAGTTAGTTGACCTGAGAAGACCTACCTTAACTAAGGGGGTGTGTCGTATAGGCACACGGACCACGACGTGGTCTATAGGGGATCTAGGGGGGATCTACGCTATAACTAATGACTTCGGATATAATAGGGACGGATACCGGAAAAGACCGGATAGGATCTAAATAATATAGTACCCATAATAGAGTCTTCACCACCTAAAATTAAGGGCATAACAGACTCTTATAGATATAACTTAACATAATACACACACACGAGATTCCTGCTCTACTAAGTTAATCATCTAAGTGCTATTTGACGTGCGACAACTCTTCTGACTTGGGGGAAATCTTCGCGTGTGTATTGTGTTGAGTTACAACGTGTGCGAGACCGTTTGCCCTATTTTTATAAGGGGCAGTACTCCTCCGGAAGTACTACTCTATTTGGATCCTATCCGGTATTTTACCGTGGGTCCACCCTTGTCATTTCCACCCCCGAGGCCTGTGCCCACCCCCGAGGCTCGATGCGACATTATGTGGTACTATGCCCACACCCTATGGAATTGAGTGCTATAACGGCCATTTTACTGTCTATCTTCTACGGTCATACCGCTCTCAAAAAACCGGCACAAGCCCACAGTTCGTTCATCCGAAGTGATAACGTGCATCATGTACTCCCTTAGAAGAACCACGATCAGAGTTTTGTCACCCGGCGGTCGGTGTACAATCTCAACAGCACCCAGAGTCATATTCTCCGGCATTCAACCGACAGGAACGCCTCACCTAGGGAATTTCGCTGGCGCTATTCGGCAATGGTTGAATCTCCAGCACGATCCCGATGAAAAATGCAGGCGTTTCTTCAGTGTGGTGGACCTTCACGCTATCACAAGCCCCCAGCATGGACAACAACTAAGACAACGCAAGCGGGAGACCCTGGCCGCCCTTCTCGCTACGGGCCTTGACCCGTCCAAATCGGCGCTCTTTTATCAATCGTCTGTGAGTATCCCGTATCGAAAGCTCTTCGTCCGGTCAAAGTACTGATAGTCTTGATGTGCACGTGTCAAGGTCCCTGCACATACAGAGCTTATGTGGATCTTGAGCTGCATCGCCTCAACAGGTTACCTCTCTCGGATGACGCAATGGAAGGTATGTAAATCAGTTTCGTCCTTCCATCTTGTTCATGTATTGGAACTGCTGAATAACACCATTGAAAGAGCAAGCTAGGTCTCTCTCCCGACACAACACTGCAGGACGGTGGCGTAAAGGCCTCCCTAAAGCTTGGCCTATTCTCATACCCAGTTTTGCAGGCAGCTGACATACTCGTCCATCGGGCGACCCATGTGCCTGTTGGCGATGATCAGCGGCAGCACCTAGAGTTTGCCCGAGAGTGTGTCACCAACTTCAACCACGCATATGGACCCCATTTGCGGTCCCCACAAACCATCACCTGTAAGGCTGCGGGTTCTGCGAGGTCTCTGCGTTGTGCTGACATCTTCTCCAGCATCCTCACGTCGTATCATGTCTCTGCAGCAACCAACCAAAAAGATGTCCAAGTCTGACGTAGACTCTAAGTCCCATATACTTATCACCGACACTCCGGAGGAGATAAGAAGAAAAGTGATGGCTGCATTGACGGATTCCGTGAACTCTGTCTCCTACGATCCCGAGGCACGCCCAGGTGTCTCGAATCTTCTTGACATTCTTTCCATTTTCGACAGCTCTGGAAGGGATCCTGCGCAACTGGCTGAGGATCTTTTGAATCGCTCCCTAATGGATCTCAAGCAACTCGTCGCTGACGCCGTGATCACCGGATTACAGGGTATTCGTGAGCGGTTCATTGACTTCTTGTCCGCGGACGAAGGTAGGTATATTGATTGGGTTGAAGCAGAGGGAGCGAGAAAGGCTCGGGAGAACGCTGAAGAAACCATGGCTATTGTTAGACAAGCCATTGGCCTTTGATGGCCGAAAGAAGAAGCATGTGTAGATATGCTGGCCTGGGTGGAGTACGCTTCAGTACCAGGTTATTGAAGTTTGACTTCTGTATTTTTTGTGTTATATAGTAAAGGAGTATTAGGGGCTCGCCGACAGTGGGGGGTTATATAAGAGAGTCGGGGGGTTTTTTTGTTTAATTCATTACGCGCATGCAGCCCTGAAGCTATGGCGCGGCGCCTATCGCCCTAAGGGCTAGAGGCTGTTAGAAGCTAAGTACGATAAAATAGAGCGTACTAAATAAAGGAAATCCTCCGTAACAATCTGCCTAATAAAACCTAATAGGTAAAAAACCAAAGCAAAATAACTAGACCGCAGGAATCGTGGTTTGCGCCCTGTACCACTCTGCCGAGGCTATTTTAATAAGAGAGTCGTTATTCCGACTATAGCAACCGGTTATTCCGACTGTAGGTCATGGCCCCACAAATTCCCTTTTTCGGAATCCCGTCTTCCACACACAACTACGTCCGGTTTTATTTTCTTTATTTTTTTATTTATTATACGTATATAGCCCGAAAGCTATAGCGCGGCGCCTATCGCCCTAAAGGCTTTAGGCTAGTAGAAGCTAGATATAGTAGATAATAGTGCTAAACAAAGGAAATCCTCTATAATAATCTGCCTAATAGACCTAAATAGGTAAGAATCAAAATAGAATAACTAGACTATAGAATCCGAGGTTTACGCCTTATACCACTCCGCTAAAGCTATTTTAGTAGCTAAAAGACAGGCCTATAAGGTCTATATTCCTCTTTTAGTACTAAATAATAGCGGTACAGATAGTAGTAGGCCTGTTAGGGCTTCCCGTAGGGCTTTTCGTTCGTTTTTATAAAAAGGGTAGGACAGGATAAGGTGGGAAATAGCCTGTATAGAGGAGCCGGAATAGGAATAGCGGTCGCTAGCGTAGTTTTAGGCCCTTTTTAGTAGGGTTTTAGGTATCCGAAGCCGGTTTTTAACTAAGTAAAAGCCCACTTTACCTACCTAGGCCCTATATTAGTAGTGGTTTTCGGGGAAAACGGAGGTTATCGTGGACTAAGCGTCTATAAAGGCGGCCTAAACACACCAATCCACCTCTTTTTTTCGCCTACTCTTTATTATTCTAAAGGGCCTTCTAGTCTCGAATTAAAGCCTTATTTACGCGGCGTTTTAGGTAGCTAAGAGTAACTAAACTAACGGATTTAGTAGTTTTTTTCGGGTCTAATACCCTTTTAGCTACTATATCCACTAGTTCGTTCCCTTCTATCCCTATATACGAGGGGCACTACTGTATAGAAACCGAAGTGCCTAGTTAAAAAGGAGTAAAATAAGGGCTTTTGCTTCTATAGCCTACTATAAGGTACGCGAAAGCTTTTAACTAGCCGCCTATAAATTGCTAAACATATAGCACTCTAGGGGCCTAGGCGTCTTCTATAGGGCAGCTTAAAGGGCCTAAAGAATATAGTATACTTTAGCGTTAGCGACTTCGGCAAAGGCCCTTAAAATTAGAGCCTAGAGCTTCATAGGGCCTTATAGGGTGGCCTAGGGATCCGTCGGTATATAAAATATTGGCCTAGTTACCTAGGGTTCGTTATATTCCGATAAGGGCCTTAAGGTAGGCTGTTTTCGGATCTTAGGTTTCGGGGTCGGCGTTATTAGCTATTTCGGGCCGTTCTTTTAAGGGGAAAAAGGGTCTTAGGTCTGCTATACGCTCGGAGACCTAGGAGGCCTCCCACCTAGCTACAGGACCCTCGATATTCCAAGACTGCCCTACTAAAGCCACTATTTCTAGGCCTAACCTATATAACTGTGTGGTGGGCTATAGGTTCTATAACCGGGCGAGGTCTTCGTAGTCTTCGTGGGTTTATACGCTAGCTAGGAGCTAGCGCTTAATAGTGTAGTTCGGTAGGAATTGTAAGGTCCTAAAGGCATAAAGCCTATTAGACCTAGTTAACGGAACCGCCGCTAGAGGGACTACCGCTTCGAGCTCTAAAGGCCGTAAGGGGCCTCCCTAAAAGCACCTAGGGCCCTAACTATAGCGCCGTACTATAGACATTCTAGGCGATCCATAAGGTGTCTTTTCGGTGATTTAGGGGCCTAATAGAGGTACGAGCTAAAGTCAGCTAAAGAGGCTATACAGGCTATATATAGCTATCACAGGACCTTAACGGAAAGGCCCCTCTACGAACTAGCTAGCCTATATAACCTGTTCAGGGCCCCTAAAGCTAAGTTTAGGCATTTTTTAATATAAGGTTAAAAGAATAGCTTAGGATTAAAGTAGACCCCTAGCCACCTAATAGCACCTGGCGCTGGCTTTACTTAGTGCCCCCCTATAGTTACCGGGGCGTCTTCCTTAGAGCGTCTTTTATAGAAGTGGATAAGCTCTGTTTTTCGGTAGTCGAAGAGGATTTAGTTAACTTTTACCACGTTAAAAAGGGAGGCTACGGCTCTTTCCAGGGGTTTATAGTTTTTTCCAGTCGACGTAGACACTATAGATAGCTATAAATCGTCGATATAGGAGAGCTAAAGATTCTAAAAGTCCGGTCCCGCTACAATATAACTACGCGAGGACGTTCCCGAATGGGATCGTTAAATAATAAGTATAATACTTAAATAGGGAATATCTAGAATACAGGAAGATCCGATGGAACGGTCCTTATATAATCCGGATCGGTCACGTGCACCTATTTAACCCGATTGATTGGTTTGAACCTATAGGGTCCGACTAACCTAATTAGTTAAAAAACATACGGCCGACCTAACTAGTTAGACTAACCTAATAACCGATCTACGGGGTTATAATATGGCCCTAATTATAGTCGCCTCGCCATTAAGACTACGATAATTCTAAAAGTAATAACCCGTAGATCTAGTATAAATAATAAACTAAACGATATTTTTATTACCCTGATTAGGGCTCCTCTAAGTAGTCCTAGCGTAGGTTTTCTAGCCGTCTCCTCTAAGCACTCTAGTATCTCTCGCCTCTCCTAGATACGCGCGGCAGTTCTTATATAGCGGTTATAAAGTTCCCGAAGCCGTGGAACTAATCCTATATAGCCTTCGTGCAACGTAGTAGCGGTAGCGGTAACGGTAGCGGCATCGGTAGCGGTATCTTCGGCGTGTGGTTCCCTTAAGATAGTAACGGGCAGGTAGGCAGGTTAGATCTTTTCCACGCGTTCTTCTAATCGTAAAGTCCTTTCCGGAGAAGCTAACTATTATATACCGTAGTAGAAGCAGGACTCGAAGGAATCGTCAGAACTAAAAGAATAACTAAAGGAATAGGAAGAAGAAGAAGAACAGGAAGAAGAAGAACAGGAAGAAGAAGAACAGGAAGAAGAAGAACAGGAAGAAGAAGAACAGGAAGAAGAAGAACAGGAAGAAGAAGAACAGGACTCCCTCGACTAGAATAATAAAGATAGACGAATAGAAAATAGAAGAGATATAGAGAGGCAGGAAATAATATAGGCCACGAAGGCGTATAGGAATAAGGCGCGTAAGAACGGTGCAAAAAAAACAGAAAGGCTAAAAAAGAGGGTGGCAGAGACGTAGCCGTACAAAACCACGTATTAAGAATTAAATAACCAATAGCCTAGAAGGCTTAATAACGGGCTTGTTCGATAATACTCGTTCTGATTAGGCTACTAGAAGCAAAAAAAGAGGCTATAAAATCGGGGGGGTATTATCGAGAGTACGAAGCACTCTCTCCTTTATCCTCGGCCCCAAAGCTAGGCGTGCGGTCCCTGCGGCTATAGCTTTCAATAATAAAAACAACACAAAACAATAAAAATAAACAGACAGGGAGATACTATTAGATAGGCCGTAAGATTGACGGTTATGTAACGGGCACGGATTTGACCGAAGGATTGTACCCTTAGTAATCGGGGTGGATACCTGCAGAAATTTCACTATAGAAATTATAGTGGCAGGAGTTCCTTAACGGTCGAGGGATTTTGTATAAGTTATATATATAGACCTATAGATTTATAAGTCTTAATTAAAGTAACGGATTAACTGCCCTATTACTATTCTACGTTATTATTTATAGTTACGCTATATCTGATAATTAAGAGTCTTATACACTATTAACGATTTATCCTCTTTTACTATCCCTTTTACCTATCGAAGTACCGATTAAGAGCTACCCTAGCCGAGCCGGTGTAGCGAAACTTTTACCGAATCCTTTCTAGCTCGAAGAAGCTAACCGACGATTAAGATTACAGTTCTATAAGATCTCCAGGGTTAATACGATATAAATTATACCTAAAGCTACTAGACCTTTTAGTAACGAAGTAACGACGTAATGGCTATAGCCTATAATAGCCGTCCAGAACTAATTTACTAACCTTAAAGATACTCCCCTTTCTATAAACCGGCCTTAGAGCCTTAAGCTGATTTCAATAACTTTACAACTATTACTGGCTATGGCCCGAGGCATAGTCCCTGGTAGTGGCCGGGACTAAGAAGCACGGACCTCCTAGTAAGGCCCGTGCGACCTAACTTATACTTAGCCACCTATATACCACGTAGACTTTTCCTTTTCTTTTTTCCTTCCTTAGTTCGAATAACTATATTTTCGGTCTTAATATATGAACAACCTTTAATAAGCCGTTATATATTCGAACTTAAGACTATAAGCTTTAAGTCTTATATAGAAGGAGGTCCTAGCTATTTCGCCCCAAGCCCGCTAGTAGGCTAAGGGCAGGTTATAGGGACCTTGTATAATAGGATTAACGAACGCGTGTTATAAAGCATATAGGAAGCGGTAAGGATATATATCGCTCCTATTTATAATATACTCGCTAGCCTATAAGTAGCCCTTAAAAGGTCATCAATTAACCCGCACCTTATACCTACTACGTACCTGATAACCACCCTAATTATCACGCCCTCGCTACTACCTAAGCCCCTAGAAGCAGAAACCGCTATACCTCTTTTACTACCGCTACCTATACTCTTATAGTATATATAGTAAATTGCTATGGCAGCGAAATTCAGTAGAAAACGTATAGAATATACCGCCTAGTCCTAGGCTATATAACTAAAGCTTAAACTTAATAGCCCACTATTTCGTAGTAATACAAAGGCGTGGCATGTAATTAACACGTGCTTGGATACTTAGCCTTAGTAGGTAGTTAGCACCTTCGTCGTTATTAAAGGCATAAACAGAGACTATAACCTAGAAGACTTAATAGCCTATCTTAACCGTATATATAGGGATCGTAATAAGTAAGGCTATGCCACTAATGCCTTTTTTTTAATATATATATACAGCCCAAAGTTATAGTATAAGTCTATTAAGAAGACTAAGCCTATAACCAGTATCTAGTTATTTATATAACCTATATATAAAAGTAAAGAATAGGCGAACCAAAGTTATTAGTCCGGGACTTATCCTTATATACTGCACACTCCCCGGAGTATCCTAGGCTCCAGGGCTTAATCGTAGTAGTATATAGATGCGCTTAATTACGCGTAGTAGATATATACTCTCCCCTCCTAAGGAGGGTATATACCGGAGGCAGTGTGGTTCTACTTATTAGCGCATAAGCTAATAGATATCTCCCCGACGTACGGGGACCCCTATAACGTGTAGGAGCTCCGGGTAGGTCGCGCGCGAAACGAAATCGCGCACGATTAAGGGGAGTGGGATTCGAACCCACGACCTTACGCGGCCACTAGGTGTGTCTACCACCTATGCTATCCCCGTTACTAACGCCCTTAAATCGATAAAGGAAAAGCCTAACTAGCCATTTACACGCTTCCTACTAATATTCGAAAGGAACCTAGCATAAGTAGGAGGCTATAACTAGGTAGCTTATATTAAGATATTATTTCTTAATAGCACCCTTAATAACGGGCTATATAATAGCTTAGTGGCCGCTAGCCACCCTAACACTTATACCGAGTAGGTTAATAAAGTATAAATGATTATATGGAGATATACGGGTGCTAGTAATATAACCAGATAAAGACGTAGTGGCACCAGATCGTTAAGATAAAGATTAGATAAGGAGATTAGTCCAGTAAAACCACGATATATAACCAAAATATAACTAATACCGCTATAACCTTTAGCGAAGAAGTAGATTAGTAGTTACTATTCTGATTAGGGTAACGTAAGTTAAACTAGAAAGATACCTTAAACGTAGAATAAGTAATTATAAAAGAGGATAATAATTAAATGATACTCCCTTAATAGGGATGTCCGGAGCCTGTCCTTAATATATATATATAGGAGGTAGATCCTATAGCCTTGGAAAGGGGGTTATATAACCGGCTATTAGAACCACTCTAAACCCGTATCTACGCGGTTATAATATAGCCTTAGTTATCTTAATTACGCCCTTATAGCGTAGATAACTCCTAAACATAAGTAGATATAAGTAAATAAACTAAGTAAAGAGCTATCGTATACCCTTATTCCTCTAATCACCCCGTCCTCTATGTATACTAAGTTAAGGATCGTCTTAGCTTTAGTTCCTCCGTATATACCGTTTCCTTACTATCTTCGCCCGCTATATCCTTAAGACGTCGCTTATCTAATCCTCTATATATACCTTTACTTACGCTTCCGTAAAGTTCTTCCTCCGACTTTATAGTTAGGCTTCCTAGCCTTTCTAGCCTCTTAATTAGCGGTAGCCTTATCTGCCTCCTATTTAATTCCCGTGCTATAACGGAGCTATCCTTCCTAAGGTACTACTTAAGGCGGCGGTAGATATAGAGTACTCTTAGCTACTATATCTCTAAGACCTACTCGGTATAGGTTATTAAAGGACTTAACCTATTCTTCCGTAGTGTATAGGCTTAGCCTAATAGGACTAACACGCTTAGCTAAAGGCCGTATATCTACGAGTCTATAGTAGAGAATATAATAAGATATCTTAGTACCCTTAGGCTAGTACTTCGCCTCCTTTTCGTATTTATCTTAGATATCGTAACTCCTTTTCTTCGAAATAGTAAGGGTTTAGACGCCGCCTTAGGAGTCTTAGGAGTCTTAGGTGTTTTCGGAGGCGGTGTTTTATTAATAGCCGCTCGCGTTTACTTCACGGCTTTTTTACCCTTAGGCGTCGAGAGCTTAAGACTACTAAGACCTATATTATCGATATTACTATTGCTATCGGATAATACCAGGGGGTCCTGGAAACTCTGGCCTAGCGTGCTAGTAAGGTTTATAATCTCGGGATTATAGAAACTAGTAAGATTAATAGACTCCTCCTTAGCCTTAGGCGTCTTAGGAGTCTTAGGACCCTTAGGCGGGTTAACTAGTATCCACTTCTTAGTCTTATTAATAGGCTAGAATCTAATCGTTTTAAGGATTTCGGGAGGTAGCGTTATAGGCTTTATAGCTAACTCCGTATAACGGCCGAAGCCAAAGAGCTTACTAATATAAATCACCTAGCCTTCCTTAATATACCGAGTATATTCCCTTATATTATTCCCGTAATAGCGGCCTTAGCGAACCTATAAACTTTCGAGCTCTAAGGCAATAGATATTCCTCTTAGACTAAAGCTTTAATCTATTCTATAATAAAAGGATTATAGGAGTAACTATTCTATTATATAGGGCTAAGGACGGTATAGAATTTCTTAGTTATATTATTAACTGCTTTTTTAGGGGCTCCGATAAGAATTAACTATAGTATTATAAGGCGGGTAACCTCGAGGAGGCGTTATTTACCTTTACTATTAGACTATATACTATCGTATCTATATATAATCCAGGTCTTCTAGTTAATAATTAGGCTAATAAAATAGTTACTATTAACGTGGTAGAGTATAGGGATAAAGCGGCTAGTTTTAGCACGCTGCCGCGCCTTATCGGTAAGAGTTATAAACTCCACCTTACCCTTAGTATCTATTACCTAGCACGGAATCTTATTAAGGAATACCTTAGGCCTTAAATCTTCTTATTTACGGCTAATCACCGTACTTACTACCTTTTTTATAACGCCCTTTTCTTACTACCTATTAGCCTTAATATCTTTACGTAGCCAGTAGGCTAATATTAAAATAGAACGGACTTTAAAGTACTACTCGCTATATAAGATTATTAAAGGGGACTATAATATGGCTAGTCCTATAATCTTTACATTTAGCCCGTTATTCTTATTCTTATCTAAGAGTCCCTAAACTATTTACTAGCCGTCCTTTAAGATAGCTCTAAACCTAGTATAAGGGGTATCGTTATTTATAGCCTAAAAGAGGCGGTACGGTAAACCACTCGCTAGGAATACCTACCTGCTCTTCTTAGGATTATACTCCTTATGGGGCCTAGTGCTTGGCTTAATAGCGGTCCGTCCCTTAGGCTAAACGCCCGTAGTTAAGTCTAAACCTTTCGGAGTAGTGGCCTAGTAATCAACCGAGTCGTTAGCGGCTATAGTATCGGTGCTTACAGTTCTTAACATTCGCGGGTGCTTGCGTTACCCTAATTAGGGTCTTTAGTAATAATTCCTTACGAAAAAAAAAAAGAAAAAGGGCAAAAAGGGTGTTAGGGAAACTAGGAGGATAAGGTGGTAAGCATAAAGTTTAATAGGGAAAGAATAGGTAAATTAGGGTTTATAAGAATATATTAAAGGGGGAGATTAGGATTAAGGCTATAGAGAGTTCTATTTATCCTCTAAAGACCTCTTCTAAAGGCTCTTTCCTTTAAGCAGGAGTCCTTAACTTATAACTACAGCTCGAACGGTCTTTTAGTCGTTAAAAGAGGTTATTTCCTAAGTCGTGATAAAGATAGCCTTTATAAATTGGAAAGAAGGTGCTAAATTAGGAAATCGATATTAGAAACACTTACTATGATTAGCTGGTAAATATTGGATAAGGCTCTTCATTTATTATTAGGTAGTAGGCGGAGTTATGCTTCTATAATAAAGGAAAATAAAAGGAGGTAGCTATAAATAGCTATAAAGGTAGATTAAATAGCCGTGATTACTTTATTAAAGACGCCTCCTCTAACTTATAAAAGCTATAAGCCGCTTAGTTAATATCGCTGCTTATCGGTCTCTTAAATATAAAAGACGTAGGATCCCCGGCTCCTCGTTGCTCTTCTTTTAAGTAACTTCACCACTTCTTCAGATATCTTATAGACAGCACCCTAACTTCTTAACTTCGTAAGTATATATTATAGCTTCTAAGTATATAATTAGGGTATTAAATAAAGCAGAACCGTATAAGCATAAGAAGGCCGTTAGCAGGTAAGAGTCCGTTAAGCCCATTCCGTGGTTTTAGTCTAAGACGCGTCTAATAAGGGGCACTCCTAATAAGTATAACGTTTAGGTAATACCTATAGATATAACTATAAGTATTCCTTCCTTATTTCTCGTGGTTACTCTAATTAGGGCGTGCTAACTTCGGTGCTAAGGTTAATACTTATATCGGTTAGTTCGCGGTGGCTAGTAAGGGCGGCGTTTCGTATATTAAGCTTAACCTTCAATTTTTAGTCGTTAATTTAGATACCCGGCTTACCATTACGAACCGGTTTTAGGATACCTTCTTAAATATTACTAACTAGGATATAGAATAGGCTCTGTTTAGGTAGATACGTTACTTCTTTAAAACGCCCTTATTCCGTTATCGTATCTTTATAGCTAAAGGCCTCGCGGGTCCCTAAAAAGATTATATTATAAAGATTATAATAAGGCTTTACGCCGCTAGGGCACTTATTATATAGGTATATAGCGTAGTTAATAAAATACCCTACTAATACTACGAAGAACGCTAGATAGCTATAATAGATAGGGTTAATAATAAGATCACGTACCTATTCTATAAGTACGTCTCCTTACCGGAAAATCCACACTTCCCCGACTACGCTAATTATCTATTCTATAAGTCTGCTTATACATTCCAGGTCGATAGCCTTCGTAAGGCGTTCTAGTAGGCTAAATATAAGATAAGCTAGCCTAATAGTGATTACCTTAGCTTTAAATACTATAATCCCCTCCTTAAGGATAACTTAGTACTACCGTAGCCCTTTTATAACGATATATAATACCCGATTTACTCCCCTCGAACCGGTATCTTCCTAGTTAATATAACCGCTATAGGTTATAGGATTACTCGCTAGATACGCTAGGCCTATAGCGGTAAGACCGCTAAGGCTTATAATAGCTTACTTAGTCTTATCCTAATACTCTTAGCTTAGTATAGGAAGGAGGTAGATAAGTATTATAATATTATCCGTAAGGCTAAGGAGGTGCTTAACCGGAAGGAAACAGTTATTTACTAGACTATTCCGCTCCCTAAAGGGGCTTAGGTCTAGTATCGGGTCTCTAAGAAGTACGGGCCTAAGGAAGGTAACTATAAAAGCAACCCTAACCTAGAAACTAAGCTACTTACTTAATAGGGTGCTTTATAATCAGGGGAATAGGTAATAAGGATAGGTATATAGTTTACTAGGTGGCTTTTAGGGAAGGGAATTAGGTGGTTAAGTAACTAAATAGTATAACTCTAGTAAGTAAACGGGATTTCTAAGAAGCGACGTTCTATAGTAACTAGAGATATTACTCTTTTCGCAAGAACTTCGTGATATGTCTAATTAGGGGAATAGAAAGGAATTTTAGGACTTATCGGTACTATTATCGTCGCCGTCGTCGTTATTATATAGGAAAGCAGGGTAGGGTAGTAAGGTTAGGGGAAAATAGGTATAAAAGGAGGTCTTCCTTATAGCTTATCTTCTTCTTTTTTGCTCCTCTTTACGCGAGTAGATTC